TATTTGACAGGCCACATAAAAGCTGAGGAAAAAAAAGCGGTAGAAAACATCTTTCAGACTCAAAAGTAGGAAGTTAATTCAGCCAACGGTCATATGTTAAAGCTTGGACTTCCCCTGCCCCCAGGGGCTATCAGTTTGTTTCTGCCAGCTGAAGAAAGGGAAGAAAACATCATCTGTAGTGACTCTACACACAGATCATTACAAGAAAACTTTTAATGATGTGCTACACTAGACAAAGCACTATGCAATTTCTCTCCTTTCCACCACATACGTTTTCTGTATTCCCTCCTCAAACTGTTCAAGAGCCTATTGTCCTTTTTTATTTATTTTTTTTAAGTCTCTATCTTGCCATCAGCCCTGCCTAGACATGACCTTCTGTCAGACCATAATGACTTGGAAGTAGTTCCCAGCAAGGACCAGCCCGACTTTAGGCAACCAGGTATGCAGCTGGCTAATTCCCGACACCATCTTCATACCCCCAAAACAAGATACTGTATTCTAAATATTGACTACCAAATCCACTTTTCTATGAAAATCATTTCTAGATAACAATGAAAATGTAAATGCTACTCATATGCTCTCATTCCAGTTAGTAATATCATCTGCATGCACTTGTTAAAACCGTACCTTAAATCTCCAAGAAATGCACATGATCAGTGAAAGTTTACCACCATACCGCTGCATAAATAAACTTAGGCACAAACTAAGCAACACACAGACGAAAGGGACAGAGATGAATAATTTTACCCACAACACCCGAAGCAGTGTGCTGTAAACATTCTGTAACTATGAAATATAGAGAACGAGCCCTGAGCTCAGTGACCTGGGAAGTGAATTACACTTCACACATCACATCAATTACCAGCTCTGGGAAATGAACACCACGCTATTGCACACACACACAGAGCAAAACTCAAAAATGGCTGTTTTGACGGTGTCCCATGCCAGCAACTAAGGAAGCAGTACAGTTAAGAAAGTCCAGCCAACCCTGTGGCTACAAAAAATCACACAACTCTTGCTTCGGTCCCGGTGGAAGTCCGACGACAAGAAGTGCAAGTTCACCACAAGAAGCACAAGCCGAGCACCCTGCAGTGAGGGGAGGCTCCACAGCACAACCTCCCAGCACTGCACCTCCACTCGTGACCGTGACACCAATCTGCTGCCTTACGCCAAGGAAGACCAGGAATTTCATTTCGTCGGGTGGGTTATTTTGTTTTCTTTCCCTTTCCTCCAGAATAAGGGGCAGAAGCAAAAGAGGCAGGCTGACGGAGGCACCGGTGACACCTCAACCCGCCTCACTCACCCGAGGCAGCGAGCCGGGGAACTCCGAGCGCCCTCACGAGCCCCTGGCCCAGGGAGCGGCCGAAGCAGCCCAGCCCGAAGCCCCGCAGGCGTATCACCGCGGGTGAGCGGCTCCGAGGGGCCGGGAGGGCCTGGATCCGGCCCGTCCCCGCCGCCCCTTCTTACCTTCGGCAAGCGGCTCCTCGGGGGTCACCTGGTACCGCCCCACCAGCAGCGCCCTGCCCAGGGCCACGCCGCTCCCGGAGCCACCGCACGTCGTCCCGCCGCCGCCGCCGCTCCCCTCGGACTTGGGCATGCGGGAAAACTTCTTCATGGCGAGCGGAACCCCAGGAAGAACCGGGGAGGAACCGGAGGCAAGCGGCGGTGAGGGGGTGCTC